TCAACAACCCCTGTATCTCAGCTAACCTCCAAAAACCTGGCACTTGAAATTCAGTATATTGAAGGGGGCAAGGAAGGTACAGAAGTCTGAAGAGAGAAATGACTTGCGGTTACACTTCTGCCCCCCTTGTCTTATGTGGGGTGGGGGAATTGGTTTACAGATACCTTTGGCATGGAAGCGTAAGACACAGTTGCACACTGCTTAGAGCTTCAATCAGGCATCAATTAGCAGAAGTAAGCTGAAAGAGCAGCAATGAACAAGCAGATATTCTGCAGTATCATTTGTTTTCAGTTAATCCTCTCCAGCTGTGCTTTCTTGAGAGGAAAGGAGTTGAAAAGCAGAACATAATGAAAATGAACCAAACAAAATTCCCCCAAACTAGTGGCCGCTTTTCGAGGTTTGATGAAGAATGTGTCATTTGAGCACTAGTGTGAACCTCCTTGCAATTTCTTTTTCAGATTTCGCTAATTGTAATCTGCTTTGAGGAAGATGAGACGATGGGTCCTGCCTCAGAAAGCACCACAGCACATGCCTAAATCCAAGCTCAAAAATTATTCGTAACGATTTCAATTTAGTAGTCTTAAACAGATGCCTGAAGCACGTGGTTTACAGGAGTGCTTTCCCTAGGAAAGAAATTTGCCTGTCAGCAGTCGTAGGGGGGCTGTGTGCTGAGAGGCACAGCTATGCTCTGCAGCACCCCTCTTTTAGGGAGCTGAGTGAACTCTACAAGAACTAACCTAAGGTTGGTCCCTGCACGTAGAAAGCAGTCTGTTAACACAGTATTTATTTTAATAATGAAAGGACAGCGATAAACAGTGGGTAAATGCCTTGTCCAGAGGTTCCACAGGAAGTTTGCAGCAGGACTTTACACTGCAGCTCCTGAGGCGAGCCCTGCGGAGCTGAGAGGGCCCAGGCGCGTACTGTCCGTCACCACAGGGAACTCCCTAACCAGAGCTGGTGCTCCTTTGTCCTCCCTTTCCCTCCCCCTAAAACAAAGAAGAACAAATGCCTTGGCCCAGGGACTGATCTCTTTCCCAGCCTGAACTGAGAGCAGTGGGAGCTAAAGACAGGACAGCAAGCTGAGGTAAAGCAATTTGCTGTGGGACTGCACCCAAGAGGCGTGCTGCCCACTTGGTAGATGTAAAAATGACGGCTCCAACACAACAATGCTGGCAGGTCTGCGACAACCCAAAATACTCTACACCAACACAAACACCTTGCAGATGTAAGGAGAGAGGTGCGAGACAGCCTGTAGGTTACCAGCACTAGCTGCCAGGGCAGGCCACAGCAGCTCCAGCAGGACTGGGCTGCTGCCATCTCCCTCGCGACCCGGTGAGATGCCAGACTGGCAGCAGCTGGGCTCTGTGAGCTCTTCTGGAGCAGACACGTCCGTGGAGCTGCTGGATCTTCATCCGAATTTTCAGTATTATTACACTGCTTCAAAAATAAGTGTTCAGCCATGCCTCCAGGGCCTTTTTAGCTCATCGTCATGACTTCAGCGTCTGCCTGAACAGCAGTTCAGCACAGTTCTTCGCCTCCAGGTGGGCCTACGATCCACCTTAAAAAAGCTCTAGATGAAGCACACTGACAGCATGGGGCAATCCCAAGTCTGGCCCTGGGCCAAAACCTGGACCAAATCTACAAACAGATGCGCTGTCACAACAAAGTGGAAACTCTCCTGAAAAGCTCCATTTTCTGAATTAGGGAAGCTAATTTAAATGCACATGTGCATTATAATAATTCCATTTACAGTAATAAAAATCACAGCTCTGATTTGTATTTGAAAACATTTTAACACACTATTCATCCAGCTTACGGATTATTAGCGCTGCACTGTTATTCAGAAGCTGCAAAATAGATCCAGATAATAATGAATTTTACTAGCAAATGAATGGAGCAAAGCCCTGTAATAAGCTGTTTTTGTTACAGCTCGATAGATTTGCATGCTCTGAGAAAAAGAGAAAGAGAGAGAACACCACGGCCACTTCTCTTCTGAAAGAGGAAGCGCATCTATGATTTCATTCCCTGTGGGTATCAGGAAAACATAAATAGTAAGGATGGAAAAGATTTGCTTTCTGATCTTGATTTGTTTGTTCTTCTCCTGCCCTCAAATACTTCCATAAAACAACCCTTCACTTTGCTCCCAAACACAATATGAAGGTAAATTGAGACAGTTAACTCCAGTGATGATCTAAATATTTTCTAGTAGAGAAGACATCTAACATAAATACGCTCTGTTTTAAAACCAACAACAGCAAAAAGAAGCGCTTGATACTAGAGATGAGCCTAAGCTACAAGCATGGGCTCCTCAGCGCCTCCCAGTTCAGGCTCACACGAGTTCAGCATGTTGGGAACGAGGATTTGGCTTAGATTAATCTCTAATGCACACTTTATAGCTTTTAATCTCAAGAAGCGCATTTATCACCATTAAATTCAGCTTGTGCATGCCAGGCCATAAAGATGGAACTTAAAACATATCGAGGTGCGAGAAGATTAAAGCTTGGATGAGAATTTCACCGAGTAGATGCACTGGAGTTCAAAGACAACGTTGTTCAGGGGGTTATGGACAGATTTATAGGCAAAGTAATAACTGAGAAAGTTGAAGGAAAGTTCAGGTTTCAAGGATGAACCACTGCAGACAACTCCTGCACCAGGAATTCAGACAGTGCAAATAATACACAACACGATGACTGAAACATTCTGAAAACGTCTTGCATTTTTAGCTCTTCATGAAAAGTTATTCATAAATGAGCATATAAAATACCCCTGCACAAGTACCCACCTATAGCAACTTTTATGGTTGTGAAAAAGTTTTAATGCTCTTGGAAAAAACATGACAGTTTTTGAGCAAATCTCTGCCTATCCCTCAATTCACTGGCACATTCCTGCCCTAACAGTATTACAGAAGAAGACAAGATTTCTTGATGAGAAACCTGATCACACTGATTAGAATATTCTAATATTCAACACTGTTAAGTTTTACATTGCCACTTTCTTAACAGTTCTGCCATAATTAACAGGGTGACAGAATTGATGACTATCCTGCTTAAATTTACACACACTGCTGAGCTGTTTAGAGACAATGAAATTTGACTACACTCCTTGTACCATTGTTACATGACATCTTCTCAACTGCTTCAATTTCAATTACCCAGAGGCTCGAACGTATGCAGGTTTCCTCAAACCAAGTGAAAAGGATTTGTATCAGCAGTGTATCGTTTAAATTTTAATGCAATTGTATACATGCTAATGATCTCTAGGGGAGATCCACAAACAACAGACCTGATTTTCCACTTTGTTACAATAGTTTAGATATTAATAGAATTACATTAAAATAAATCTGGAGTAATTAAGTTGCAAATTAGGCTCAATATATCAATTTGATCCTGTTATTTCAATACCATTTATATTTCCGTTTCTTGAAATTGATTTTTTTTCCTTAAGTACTGATAATCTTCTTTGGCACGAAATGGGTACTAGAGACAATCTGAATGATTTTCATACCAAATTTAGGATTTGTCATTGTTCTTTGTATGCAAACACAGCTGATGCTCTCTGAAGACATTTCTAAAGCATTCATCCTGAAGACAAACACGCTCTCACAGACCAGGTGGAGCACACAGGGCTGCCTTTACTCACCGTTGCTCAGCTCTCCTCCTCACAAGGTCCTGTTACCATGCTCCAACCCTGGGAAAGCTCTGCCTGAAATTTCACACTGCTGTGCCACTGCCTACAGCGCTAGTATTAAAAATGGCCACTTTGTGAGAAATAAGTGTGAAGAGCTGATTTCCATATTATGCATTCCTACAACTGCTCTAGGTTGTTATCACACCTGGAGACTTTAAGAACCAGCACAAAATGTGCTGAGGGTAAAGGGATGGGTGAGCAAGCATACCAGCCACGGCCCCTTTCCCTTTCCCATCCTCCTTGAGGTCACCAGGCCCAGCTCACGCAGTTTCTTTGGACCTCTCAAACTCCACATAAGGCCTCTTCCCCTGGTAGTGTTGACTTGCTATTCAAGAGAATTAAGACGCAAACAGAAGGACAGCAAAAATGTGAACACTGACTTCTGTTTGGGTCATCTCCACACACACCTCCCAGCTTCACATTTGGTCCTGTCCTTCTGTCCCCATGCTTTGTTATCCACCCATGGTTTTATGATCACCATCTGCACAGGACATAATTGATGTCAGACAAAATGAGGAGAAAAACAAGTACTGCTGACCAACCAAGCAGCGTGGCTGTACTCTGGAAGCAACTATAAAACAGCACAAAGGGCCTGACTTTATTGCTTCTTACTGATTCATCACCAAATACGCTTCATCTGCAAACGGCCTTTTCCAGCTCCCTCCACCCCTCACTGCCATCTGGCTGATGCAGTTGCACAGGTGAGCATCATTTGGCCTGCAGAGAAGCTATAATGAACAAAAATTTATCTGGATTTTCAGATCCCAAAGTCAATTTGTAAGGCTGGCAATTAAGAAAAGCTTCGCATCTGGGAACAACAAAGCCAAGTGAGCAATTCACACACCTCTTTATGTACTTGTACACCTCTCATTTCTGTGGGAAGGAGCATGCCATCATCCCTCTAACAAATACAAAAATAGAAGGAAAGAAATAGAGCCTCTACTAGAATTCTTAAAATAATTTCTATGTTGGTGTTTTCACAGCTTCCAAAAGAGATTTAAGAAGTAGTTTGAGGCACTCAGCTTACCACTCTGTGTGTGTGTGCATATATACAATATATATTTATATGTATGACGTATACATGTATACACGTACATTTCCAAGAACATAAGCAGAGATGAACACCAGAGAAACATCTGAAAAACCCTCTCCTTCCTACTTATATTGTTTATTTATTTTTTATGTGCTGGAATTAAGTTACATATGCTAAGGAAAGTGCTTTGATTAATAGCACAGAAAAAAAAAAAATCTAGTATTCGGTATTGTAATTTCTCAGTACAAAAATATCAACTAATTTCACCATGGTTTTAGCTACAAGAGCATATATTTTCTTATCTGGGAATTGGCAAATGTGAAGGTTAAGGTTTTCAAGAGTAAGTCTGTTTGTGTAAGCCAATGCTTGGATACCTGAGTGCAGGATTTCATTCATCACACTGTCAGGCAAGGAGCAGACCTTAGTGAAGACAAAAAAGCTATTTCCAGCCCAAACGAAGGGATGGCCTTTTATTGTTGTTGTTTTCTGGTCATCTTTTTCTTCAATATTTATTTACAGTTTGGGATAGAAAAATTTCAAAATCACAACTTGATCTAAAATTTCACACATGCAACTAAATGGGAAGAGTGGGTGGGTGTGTTTGGTTAGTGAAATATCACTTTTCTGCTTAATTCCCGGTATGTTTTATTATGCTTACTTCCCATTATGTTCTGGACATAGGTCCCTTTACTACCAGCCTCAAATTCTGAACACTAATTTTCATCTTTTTCTTCATGTGGTTTAAAAAGAAAAGTGAGAAAAATGTCAGTCTCATTTACACCTGTTGCATGTTTAACCATATATACATATGTTTAGGTATACGTTCATTAATGTATATGTTCATTCCACCGTAACTGTTTTTTCAACCAAATTTCCTGACCTAAGAAGCCATTTAACTCTGTCTTATTTTTTCCTCTTATCAGCTGTCTCCTTCCCTTTCTTCTGTGCTCCTGTTCTCATAGCAAACAGTGTCATTCAGGAAACGGGGGTTTAATAGTAAAATACCCTTATGCCTCCAGGTACATCAGGCATAGTGATATATTTTGCTTTTTTTTTGTTCTAAAATCTGTACGATGATGGTGCAACAGATGAAATGCTAAATTATCAAAACAAATTCTTTAACTCAGTACTTAATCCAGAGTACAAAACCCCAAAATATTAAAAACACATTCAGAATTACACACAGCCCAAAAGAATGCTTCCCACTGAATTCCTGCTGCTTTGTGTCGACTCAGCCTTTTTCACTCCATCAGCATTGTCAGCAAAGCCAGAGGGAATTTTGCCAGGGTAAATACTGCTAAATGGGGTCCCCTATCCACAGATATTTGGCCTTCCCCCCTGTTGCCAAGTCCTTTCTGCTGTCAGTCTGCCCGTAAGATTAAATGGATATACTTTTTTCCCCCTAAGTACTCACAGTTTTGAGATAAACACTGACCCCTCAGGCATAAGAATATGCCCTTGCCGTTGTGATGTCACAGATATTTCTAAACTAATTAAGTGAATCACGTAAACTGAGTAAAAAGTTACACACAGCTTTCCAAAATCATTCTCTTCAGCAGTAGGTGCAGCCTCCCAGACCAGACTTCCCAGGAAGCGTTCAATTTAACCTGTTCTCTAAACCCACTGTGCTGGTGAGTCACCATACGTTGGTTATGCTTCTATTCCCTTCTCCAGGAGGAGAGATCAAGACCTTGTGCTTGTTTGCAGTCCTTTTCAACCACAGTCAAAACCCCCAAGCCCAAAGAAACCAAGAGTCAAGACAACTTAGGAGCACAGGGTAACCTGACCCACTTATAACCATCTCCCAAACTGCTGATACGTGTTGTTGCCCGATCAGAATTCTGGGGCTTGCCCATTTGGGATCCCGGTTCGGATTGAAATATGCATGTCACAGTCTCTGAGGTAACTTCCCAGCTGAATCAAAACAGGCAATGTTTCCGTATGATTTGCCTTATTGATGTTGATTCCAAAGACAAAAGCAGGACTATACATTATTCATCACTGCCTTTTACTTGTTTGGTAACACCAATTAAGACTGGGCTTCCAGGACACTCCTCCCTTTAAAACATCAAAGCCAAGTGACAACTGTTTAAAGCATTTGGACCACTGTCTCCGCCGTGCAGCCTTGAACAAGAAGCTGTACACTAGAGCAAAAGCAAACTTCACAGAAAGAAATTTGCATCATTGCTTGAAAACCTTCATAACAGAGCACAATGTGAAGACAAAAAAAAAAAAAAGGCTTCATCTACTTGTTTCTTAGATGCATCACATCTTTAAAAAGCTAGTTGTGCATAGTATTTCTTATTTCATCACATTCATGCTTGGGACGATCCATATGGATTTAGCAATTACTATTGACAGAAAAGGTCACACAATTTGGCCTGTTCCAAAACCGTCTGTTCCACTTCTGTGCTCAGCAGTCACAGCAGGACCGAATCCTTGCTTTCAAATATGTAGGGCTCAATTCATTTCATGTGCATTTTTCCTCAGGGATTTTGTCCAGTTCTGATGAAAGATTCAGCTTGGTCCATTCAAAGATGGATGTCTCACAAAAATTGCCTTGCATTAACACTATTTAGGATTCCTGAAGGAAATCTCTCTTCAATGAAATAGCTTCCTTTCAGGAAGTGCTTTATGGAGATACCCTGGTTACAGAATTTTATTAGTTAGAAACCCACTTCCAAGAAGTCCTGAAATGAGAACACATTCCCAAATAATAAAAATAATAATAATAATAAAAAAAAAAACACCACACAAATCCAGGAAATTGAAAAGGTTCAGCTGTCTGTTAGTCATGGAACAACAAACATAGAACAAACCAAAGTTGTCTTCACATACAGTTGCCATCTTCTGGTGTCTATCCCATCTTCTTTAAAAGCTTGCTCTGAAAATTTGTTTCAGCATGTACCATTTCTAAAAGTTATTTGACTAACACTTCGTCTTCCTTTAAAGCTCTCTGCTCTGTAATAGCAGGACGCTCCCAATTGTTCACACTGAAGACACAGCTCTGTGTGGGCGTTTTCCTTGTTTCAGGTTTGGGTGTACCCCCGGCCAGCAGTGATGCAGCTCCTCCCCAGGCTACCCGAGCCAAACCCCGCCGCTGCCCACAGAAGTTCCGACCAAGCCTGGGGCTCAAGATCCCTCCTGAAACAAATGCACAGGAGGGGGAAGGAAAGGGGCAGTAAGGCATTTAACAAACCATCAGAGAAAAGGACTTGAGAATGAGCCCGCACGCATTTCTGTCCTCAGTCAGTTCCCAATGCCTGTGGGTGCAGCCAGCTCCCCAAAGACCCCTGCCTCCCAGCGCTGTCCTTCCCAGTAGCTGCTGGTTGCCTCATTCCTGAAACCCCAATTCAAGCCAAAGTTCTCACTTTCTGCATTTGTTTTCCACTGCCTCTCCTAGAAAAAGCTGAGTGCCAAAGATTGTCACGTAGAAAGTCCCAACAGAACAATGCCAAATTTATTTGGGGTTCAAAGTCAGCCGTATCTGCCACGCTATTGATTTTCCCATTTTTCTATGCGTGCATCTTGTGCAAAGTGGCACATAAGGCACACAACAGTTACAGCAAGGGCTACAAACACACTGCTACTCTACAGCTAAATCCATTGCCATACATATTAAGCATCTGCAATAAACTTACAGGCCATCACTGAAAATGTTACTATTGATGTCCAATCTAATTACATGTGTACACAAGAAGTAATCTAGAGCCCACAAAGAAGGGAAGTTGAAGGAATGACACAGAATACAAAAAAGTAAGCAAACCTAAACTCTCCGATGCCTCTGACTCTTTTGGGGATCCCCAAAAGCCGCCCCTTGCTTTGTGCAGGTCGCCCCGCAGGCAGAGTGCAGTGCGTGGTCTTAATCCTGCGGAGTCTCAGCAAAGCTCTATGTGCCACAGCAATAAACAAGTTTCTGGAAACTCTCCTCAAAAGAAAGTAACACCCATTATGCTGGAAATTTGGCATTTTGGGGAAGTGTAACAACTATGATGCCACCTTAGCATCTACAATTTGCTAAAACTTGATATTCATCCAATAGCGCTTTGTTCATGCAATGCCAGAATACTTTTATGGTTTATGTAGGCCTTTAATCTTCGCTTTCAGAAAGAAGGTAGGTTTATGGTTGCACCTATGTGACTCCATTCTCTCCAGCGGAAAAAGGCAATTTATTACGGCTCAGCTAGGAGCTTTCTGCAGTGCAGATGAGGGAGCGGCGGCTGGGCTGCGGTGCCAGCCGCCTTTGTTCAGCAGCTGTGGCTCTGCTCCCAGGATCACCAGCCGAGTCCAGCAGGTTAAGCGTGCATGCTACATTTTTCACAGGGATGTGGTCTGTGATGTAAATGCGGTTGGTCTCTCAACTTGCCTTCAGAAAGCACTCTCAGGAACTCGGATCAGCCATTTCCTCCTTGAAATCTCTCATTCCCAAAAGGAAAGGGGAAAAACACAAACCAAATCAAAACCAAAACAAACCAAAACAATCAAACAAAAAAACAAGACACCAAAGCTTCCCTAGCAGTAAGCTTCTGCCAAGAAATTTTAAGTGTTCCCATCCAAACCCTCCTCCCCTTTCTTAAGCTTTCCATTTCTTGTTGCATTATAAATCACTCCGGGGAAATACCATGGACTCTGAACATTTAAGATATGTTCCTAAGTGGTGAACCATCAAGTATTACTGGCCTTTTACAAATCAAATGGTGTGGGTTATCTGCAGAAGCAAATTACATGTTGCTTTTTCTATATTAATTATTTGTTAGAGGGGTTGAAGGCCATGGTAACAGGAAGTTAAATTAGCCCTTATTTTGGAAAACTGCTATATCTGAAACAGAATAAATATCACGAGGACTGAACCAAGCTTTGTGGGATACATCAAAATGCTACACAAGGATTATTTCACTTGGCTGCAAAATGGCTTGTCAAATAACATGAAAATTATTATTTTTTTTTATTTGAATATAAGAAGAACTGACCTACGGCCATACAACAGGCAGTGCCTTTAAAACTGCTGGAGCCCCAGTACAAGACAGCAAGTGTGCTCATTGTCCTTCAAGAGCTTCTCCTATGCACGCATCCTCCAATTTTGGTTTGTGAATATTTCCGCATAAACAACTCTTAATCAAACCTTTTGTTCCAGGAAGGTCACTGTAGGCTAAGAATAATGCATTAAAATGCCTTTGAAGTATTTATAGAAAGATGTTATAGAAAAGAAGGAGCAGTTTAAGCACGATGGCAAGGCTGCATCGCTAGCGGAAGTTTCTGCAGAGGTTGAGCTCAGGACACAGGCCCAGTTCATAATGCCAAGTTCATAACCACTACAGCCGAGACTCAAACAGAGCAGCTCCGGCCAACAGCCACGAATGGACTGGTTCCAGTACCACCCAGGGGTGACTTACACATCCAGGGGCATTTCAGTCTCCTCTAAGTGGTGACAGAAATCAGGGAAATAACATGAAAGGCACAGGGCAGAGCCATGCTCACTCTGATCCAGAGACTGCTTTGTTGAGACTTCAGCAAACTTTCAGATACCTTTCTTTGGAAATGACATGGATAATGAAAGAGCACTGAGAAGTTATTGCTCACATCTGTAAGGAGAACAAAATAAAGTGTCATCAACTTAAAACTACGCATCTAAGTAATAAATTCAACACTGGGGTAGGAAGTCAACAAACTAGTGTAAACACTTAGCGCGATTGGTTAGCCAGTGCCTACAAAACACTAAAAAAAATAATAAAAAAAATTTCAACACTATTAAAAGAACCACAGTGCTTTTTGGGAATCTGGAGGCTTTGTGAATACTGAAGCACAGCAGATGTGAAACATGGCAATCACAAAGGTCACACTGCTGCCTCTGACGTGTTTCCTACACGATGTTGATCAAATCGCTCAGGTCAGCGTAACCGTGCAAGCACCACGCACACACCGAGCCAGCCCATGTCCGTCCCGCTGCAGGGCAACAAGCAGCCACGTCTCAACTGCACACTTGTTTTGCACTTAGATTTGACATGTTCCTCAGGGCACTCTGTTCGGGAATTTGGAGGAGCCCTACATCAGCTGCGCTATGTCTTTGCCACGTCTCTTTGTAAGAGAATCTTGGAGGGCCCAGGAATTGAGATGATTTTATTTTACCTATTTAGATGCAGGCATCACTGCTAAAGCAGCAGAGATCCATCTCACAAGGCTGATACAACTGCAAGTGTTCGTCCTGCTATGGCCCACACTGAGAACGAAGGGACAGTGCTGGACATGACACAACAGAACCTGGTAGACCCCAGCCAAATATTGCGACACGGGTTTGATTAGCTGGGAAATCCCTGTGTGGATGAAAGGCCACAGTTTATGTATTACCATAATAAACTCAACTGATAGGAAGTATGTCCAGAGTTGTGTCCTGAACACAGCACCCTCACAGAGCTCTGTGAGGACCTCGGCTGATCTGCCCATCACCTGCTCCTGAGGCCACTCGAGTCCAGACAGAGCCGTCATTTCCCTCTGGCACTGGCAACCTGTGTGGTACAGGCAAGTCACCGCTGCTTGCAAAGGAAGCAAGGCTGCTCCGCCTCACAGGGGCTCTGCAGGGTTCCTGTGGTGCCAAACTGCAGCAGTGAAGGACAGAGAAATGGCAACAAGAAAGCTGTACTGGTCTTTATACCCCCAACCCCCTCATGCACACCCTTTGTTTTTGCTTTAATACAATTTTTGCCTCACAAAGCCACATTTAAAAAGAAAAAAAAAAAGATCTTGTTTTTACAATTTTTGGGGGGGATTTTTGCAGAAAATGCATACTGCAGTATAGCAATATAGTCTAACAGATACTGACAGCAGAATGTATAGCTCTGAGCAGACCTCTGCTAGGAACATTTGAAAATGCATCATCATTATCTGCCTTCCTCACTGGAAAAAAAAAAAAATCATTTCCTTTCCGAAGCACATACGTTAAAGTCCAATATCCGAAGAATTTTAGGTTTTCCTATTGCTATTACTGAGAAAGGAAAGCAAAAAGCAACTCATTAAGAGGAGGTGACCTTTCTGCCAGGCTGGCTTCCATTCCAGCAGCTTTCACACAGTGAGAAAATCTCTGAAGGTATTAACAGAGTGAGCATTTGCAGAGCCTTCAACATGAAACAAAGTTTGTGCAGTTAAAAAACAGCACCAGGGAAAGAAGTTCTGAAAAGGAGCCAGCTGTGCCACTCGGGAGGAAAGGGGAGGGAGGCACTTGATGCATTAAGACCACACGCTTATTTCTTTTACAGACAAAAATGAGTGATTGAGACCCAAATGCTTCTTTATTTCTCAAGAATACACAGAAATGTGCTAGGATATCTAAGCTGGACAAATGAACTGGAACATCTTATTGCCTCTGGAAGAGCTGCAGAGTTTAGGATGTTCATCCTGTGAGGCTGCTTGGATGGATGGCATATGACACACGCTGCTGCCCACAGGTGCAATGACCGCAGTGACCGTGCTGCCGAACGGCCTCGCTCTGCACCAACGCAGTGTGGGCACCTTTTGGCAACTCACCCGTGCTTACCAGTCACTGCTCACCCTATTCACATTTTGCCTTTTAAAGAGCCAGTGGAACCTTGTCCTAAATTATATACCAACAATTCTCCATCGTTCTGTCAGCATCCCTGCCTTTGAATCATAACTGGGAAAAAAAAAAAAAAAAAAGTGAAAAAAGTAAGGGGACTTGGGAACATTTTTCTGAAGTAGATTAGATTAAAAGATTAAAATACGAAGATTAAAATCACCTCAGTGCCTGCAGTTGCTGCAAATAAGCCCAGGGATGAGGTTACTCACTTGCCAACACCAAGAGTTAGCCTGAGTATTGCTGGCAAAATTTGTCAGTGTTAAGTTAGTAGCAAAAATGCCTGTCATATTAATTATTCATGATGAATACTCTCTTCTTGGTTTAGTTTATCATGACAAGTTGGAAAGAATCACAGTGGCTCTTCTTGGCAGGAATGGTATCGGAGCTCCGGCTAGGATGTGCCCAGCCTGGTTCCATGACTGAACTCCTCAGTCTCAAGGAGACCTGGACGTCAGTCATTCCATTTAGTCATACTTACGAGCCTGAAAAAAAAGCTCTTCCTTCAGCAGCTTTCAGCACACTTGAACAAAACTGACTGTGAAATATACTCAGAACA